AGCATATTTTGCAAGTAGTATGAGATTTGCATTGATTATCGTTTATCAAACAGATGGGTTTGCTTTAGAATTTAAAATTAAATACAAAAACGAACAAGAATAGAAGACTGGTAAATTGGACATTGCAATAACCACTTTACTATCATTGTTGTTTTCGAAGCTTAGCTAAGAAGAGTATAAAGTTGGATATTATGTGATTTGTAGTTGCATGGGATGATTTTTATGTTCAGAAGTTCATTGCTGGATAGGTATTCTCCAGCGAGGTTGATCAACTTCTCCTTTTGTCAACATTTGGTGATTGCATTGGACTTCTACTTTACTGCTTGATTGTTTTATCTAATTCTATTTATGTATTCACGTTTTTCTTCTCTTTTTTCCCTAATTGTCTTTATTTTTTCTGGTGGTTGGTAAATTTTCTATTGTTAATCTTAACATCTATAATGGTATTCAATTGGCAAATATGTTGGGCATATGATAGCTGTTGGCTTGAGAATTATGGGCATTATCTTTTTCCATGTGATAGCTGTTGGCTTTGTAGTTATCTATTGGTTCATTTTGTGAGAAGTCTGCTTCTTGTTTTGCTGTTCTGTTGTGACATTCCAGAAGCATTGTTCCATCACCAGGTGCAGTCTGGTTTTGCATATATAAGAGATATGATGACATCTATCTTGACTCTCTCCAGATAGATTATAAAGCCTGGTGACTGATACATCTGCTTATTTTCTACATAATACACCTGGTCTCTTTATGTATTCATTTGTTGTCTTTCAGATCTTCTGAACATTGTTCTCCTCGATTTTTTGTTGTGTGGCATCCAATAGCTTTTTTATTTCTGAAATTTTGGGGTGTCTTAGCTTCTGAACCTTAATTTTGGGTTTTTAATGTGATCTTTCATGATCATGGGGTCATCAAAATGTCTGTTTTTGTTGGAACTTTCTGTGATATACTGATAATGAAATTGGTACATTCTCTGTTCTAATGAGTTCATTACATCCATTGTTATTTTTCACTTGGCTATTGAAGAGCCTATAGTTTTTATGTCCTGATTTTGGTGTTTTAGTTTTGGTTAATTTTTCAGAATTTCCTTTTTTTCTCCTCTTGACATTGCATTGGGTGGTAGTGGTACAAATTATTTTGTGCTTCATCTTTGTGAACCATTGGTATCAGAATTTCTGTGGTCTCTTTCCCTTTATTCAGCTTTTGCTTTTCTTTTCTTTGAGACACATGCCTGTTTCTCTTATTCTATGCTTCATTTATTGTTCAAGAAGCTAGGATGGGGCTAACAGTGAATGCAGTGAACCTTTGGTTGGTGATCTCGAGCAATAATGGTATGTAATTTTGACAGTCTGTTAAATATTCACCAATAGGGTCACTCGGCGAACTGGGTTTTCAATTCTATTATATTTTGTAGTTGCAGCAATCTGTAAGTCATTATATTTTGGTTTCTGAAATTTTGGGATGTCTTAGTTTCTGAACCTTGATTATGGGGTTTAATGCCGTCCATCATGATGAGCATGGGCATTTTTATATACTAACTAGGTCATCAAAATGTCTGATTGTAGGAATAGATCATAAAAGTGTCAAAGAACCTATAGATTAATTTTCACAAAATCCTTTTTTTTTCTTTGAAATAGATTTTAGTTGTACATTGCCTTCAATTCTATATCACAATTTTTGTTGTTACTTTATGGACATTGTATTGGGTGGTACAAATTATGTTGCACTTCATCATTGTGAACCATTGGTACTAAATCTCTCTGCTGCTCTCTTTTCACTTATTCAGCTTTTGCTCCTCTCTTTTTCTAAACATGTGCTCGATTCTCTTCTATGCTTTATCTATTGTTAAGAAGTTAGGACGAGGCTAACAGTGAATGTGGTAAACCTTTGGTTGGTGATCTTGACTAATAATGGTATGTAATTTTCACTTGTTTGGATGGTCTGTTAAATATTCATTAATTGGGTCATTTTGCAAACAGGTTTTTGATTTCTGTAATATTTTGAAGTGGCAGCATTCTGTTAGTCATGTTTGAGTCTAGGGATATTTAGATGTACTCTATATATGAAGTTTTTTCTTTTGCATTATTTCTGAATATTTTTTTATTTCTATATGCATCTATCTCATGCTACTTTTTTTGGTTTTGTATCTTGATCAAGGTTCGTAATTTCGTACCGCACCAGAGTTTCGACGTTCGCTCGGTACAGTATGATACT